CTCCTGGATCCCTAAGCTTGCTCCTGCCCCATCTGGTCCGTGCTCAAGGAGCTCCAGGAGCTCCTCCCAGTGGCAGCAGAAGCCAAGCTGGGTGACACCACCAAAAACAACAACAACAAGTCAACTTCTCTTCCAAAAAACCCTCCAGCCTGACCTCTACACCACCACGGAGGGTCCAGGTGACCCTCCAGAGCCCTCGGGTCCATCAGGAGACCTGATCCAGGCACGACCAAAGCGGAGCACCCACTTCTGACTCAGCACCACACACGGGTTGGAAACCCAGGACAGGCAGTGCCCTGAGGGATTCCCATCCCCAGCTCCAAACCTGACCTCTCCAAAGGCTCTGGATTTGACAGCCTCGGAGCCCAAGGGGCGGCACAGTCGCCAACAGGGAACATTTTTGGCAAGTTGAGGGAAAAACCAGAACCCAACCAAGTGTTCACCTTGGAAAAGAGAAATAAATAAGCAAACCCTCGTTTCTAAGCTGGGTTTAGTGAGAAGGGTTCAAAACTAAACCGGCCACAAGTTGTCTGCAAACACAAACTCCCTCTGCTGCCCTCGAGACAACTTATTGCTCTACTGGGACACCCCGAGGTGACACATCTTTGTGTCCCCGTGTCCCTGGCTGAGCCAACCCCCCCAAAATCCCCCCTGTGTGTGACCACTGTCCCCTCACCCTGCCCCATGTCACCTGGGGATGCCTTCCCTGCTCCCACCTGTGCTTCCTGGGAGGAAGGCGACGTGTTTATTGCTATTGCTTCCTCTCCTCCCACATCTCCCCCCCGCCATCCCGGCAGAGCAGCCGGAATTCCCACCCCTTCCGGCCCTTCTCCACGGTGCTGGTGTTTGTGCCTGGATGGACATTTCTCCTGGAAGTCTCAGAGCCCAAGGAATGGGAGGGGGCACCTCAATCCCTTAAGTTTGGTCTCAGCCCTGCCAGTGACACGGGGTGAAGGGCGAAGCCACACACCTTCCCCTCGTCCTGCCTTGAAGACTTGTCCCCATCAACCAGACGCTCTCTTTTCCTACACCACCACGCTCTGGAGAAGCTCTTCAGACCAATCCTTGGATCTGGAGCTCTTCAGACTAAACCCCAAAGTCAGAGAAGCTCTTCAGAGCAACCTTTGGACCTGGAGAAGCTCTTCAGAGCAACCCCCGAACTCAGAGCTCTCCATCTCAACCGTGGATTTGGGAAAGCTCTTCAGACCGTATCCTGAGCTCCTCAGACCAATCTTGAATCTGCAGAAGCTCTTCAGGCCAACCCTTGGCCGTCTCCTTGCCTCCTTTCCCACCTCTCCCCTTCTCCCTCCCTCAGCCCCAGGACGTGGCTGATGGGGAGCACCTCGTTTTCCTGAGTTGCTCCCAGGGCATGCGTCCCTTCCCATCAACCACCATCCATATTCCCAGTGGGAAGAGCAGCCCAAGGCCCCCCTGAGGGTGACCAGTCCTTGCCCTCCCTACCACAAGTGCTCCCCAACATTTACATCCTCTTACTCCTACAAAAAGAAGGGATGGGCTCAGAACTCCACTGCGGATTTCGAACCTACCACGACAGCTATTCT